ATACCCATCCAATAACTTTCGGTCATGCAATCGACGTTCAGCTCTGACAACTTTTCTTCGAATAGTTATATCATCTATTAAGGAATAGACTTCTGAAACTTTATTTTGCAATTTTCAATGCATTGTGGGATCGGTTTCTGGAGGAAACAGAAGAAATAGCCTTTTTCCGGTCAATACATAGTCAAAAGATTGACAAAAGTTTCTCGTCGTCCGGGTTTCACGAAACGTGGCGACTAGCCAGAACTGGTTTCTGGGTAAAAATCAATGACGGGGCAAATTACAGATTTGAACGCCTTTGTGATTGAAAGAACTGACACATAATGTGTGACAAAAATTTCCAAATCACGTGAATTTAATTATGCATGCATGTGATGTGATGTCGATATTTGCATCTCGCATTGTTTTCCATCATGGCGTGGAATACAACGTTCAATATTTGTCTTCGAGTTCTTAAAAAAGGAGAATAGAAGCCGAAACAAATTGACACTATACTGATTTTACCCAGAAACCTATTCGGGTGGGTCGCATTTACGAAGTCCGGTCGACTACAACCTTTTGTTTTGTCAATCGACTATATGAAACTTGTTACGATATACTTCATGTGCATTAAGTTTCACATAACTTTATACTTTCACCTATATGGCCGAGAGAGCCATGTTGGCCGGAAGAAAATGAAATATTTGGGCATTGAAAATATATGTTCACATATATGCATGGCATCTATCCKMTAAGRCTGACGCATGCGTCTTCGCTTCATATTTTGTAGGGCGTGACTAGGTATGAACAGTCACTTTAGCTCGTTATGTTAAATTTATACATAAAAATAGTTATATAGCACGACGTTTGACARATATGTTTAAAAGATCGTTTACCTAATAATATATTCACTTGCCGCACATACCGAAGAATGTCGGTGTATTTCTGTTTAGAAAGGAAGCGGCATTTAGTTTAGAAAATGTCCCACGCTCGTAAAATGAATATATATATCAAGACACGTGGGAATTTCTAACCTTATAATGATGATCTTTTTAGSTGAAATAGAAAAGATAGAAAGTTATAGTGCTAAGATGAACAACTTTTCAAGATTTGCTGTGTTATAGAAGTCATAKAAAGCCGCTGGTCGGTTCAAGCACCTTAACAAGTTTCTATTTAAATCGACTATCTTTATTTCATTAAAAAATCAAATACTCAACATTTATGGCTCATTTGCTTGTGTTTGATAAAACTGTTTTAATAACATCACTTATTTTATTACTGTAGTGGCACAAAAAAACAACGATCAGTGCAATCCGCGCATACTAGCGTACAAAATAATATCCTAGTGCGTCATTGGACCAACGCCGGATGGTTTATCTATTTACTTTGCTGAAATACGTCAAACTAATTTTTTTATTGATGACATTAATCTTTGAAAGTTCAGGTAGCAYTTCTTTATATTGCTCCACAAATATAGAAATGACACATTCTCGAAAAATTTACACAATTTAAATAGCATAGAATCTCTATACTCGATAACCCAAAATTACAGTGCGGCTACTCAGTGAAACCGGGACCACCTAGAGAATGTAAAATAATCACAATAATTCCGATTGAAAAAGCCTAAAACCGATGATCAGTGATATTGCAAAGAGCTAAAGCTTAATTAGATGAGGTTTTTTAGTTTGAATCCTTTGTTTTCAATCTAAATTGTGGGATTTTATGTTCTCTAGGTAGCCCCGGTTTCAGTGGCCGCACTGTAAGCGAAAATGATCTGATAGTTTTCAAACTAAGTACTTGTACGTCCGGGGAGGGAATTTTCTAAAAAAGAGTCAGACGTAATCTAAACTTCTCATTCGCTAATGAACATCTAATTTACAATTAACACCCTAATTGTATAGTWACACAAATCTACTTCACAGATCATTCCTCGTAATCTTTAAGACTTCACTGATWTGGCATGCCATTAGCGATAGTTGCCAAATTAATTRAGATTACATAACATGCCATTTTTTTCAAATACTTGTGTTGACCTTCGRAAGTTTCCACAGCTTTTAGTGATATCTGCTTCGAATATTGGAGTCTCACACAAAAGAATTTCATAATGTCATAGAAAAACTGATTCTCGTTTAACATAGTGTTTCTACATCAAAGAATATGCATATGTAAGTGTACGTGTTCGTACGCCCACGCAGAKAAGACTCTTCCAGTAAACCCAAAAAAGATTTTGCTTAGCAAGTTGGGAAATATTTATCRGGTTTAAAMTCTAATACGAGATGTCTAATYCTGTAATAKCGATATGAACGTCAAAAAATACAAAAATAAAAAGAAAGAAACAAAAACCGCGTAAGCTTTGACAAAGACATTTCAATTGAAGAGTCATAAACGCTTCCGTGGGGGAGGGTAACTCAAACACCATCCAACAATATATGGGAGGGTAGTTCAAACACCATCCCACAATATTAATATTCGCCATTTTAAAAACAAAAACGAAMCAAAGAGGACTCTGTGTCGACCTGTCTCCAGGGAGAGGTCAGTGTTTGTTTACAAATCACAAGAACAACAAGAATATCAGAGACGAGTCACTGACAAGAAGGTCAGAACAAAACTGATCTTGTAGCGTCAACATCGCTGTGTAGTTATTACTTAAAAGCATAAAAACAAAYTACATCAAAATGCGCGAAATAGTTCATCTGCAAGCAGGACAATGCGGAAATCAAATTGGAGCCAAAGTAAGTATGACATTCTTGTCTTTTTAACTCTTTCATTTTATGTTTTGTGAAACAATTTCGAACATGTTCTTATCGGAAAGCACGTTATTTTAAACAGTTTTGGGAGGTGATCTCGGACGAGCATGGCATCGACCCTACTGGCACTTACCACGGCGACTCTGATCTGCAGCTTGAAAGAATTAACGTCTACTATAATGAGGCTACCGGTAAAATCCGTGATATTTATACAATGATATTTTGTAGATGTGCTTAAAACTCTTTTCGTTACTTTAATTTCAGGGGGAAAGTACGTCCCGCGATGCGTTTTAGTGGATTTAGAGCCAGGGACAATGGACTCTGTGCGGTCAGGCCCTTTCGGTCAGATATTTAGACCTGACAATTTTGTCTTCGGTGAGTTAACTCCCTATAAATTGCGCGCAATTTCCACGATYTTTCAAGKAAAATTATGGCCATTTATATAATATTTGAAAGTTTTCTTGCTCATTTTGCTCTTATTCACATGTACCTGTTATACACATTTCCCGAAWCTATGTAATTTCTTTTACGTACACAAATACTRTACTTTGAGTGCATTCGTGTATAAACAGCAACTTACTTTTTGACATTTATTCCGATCGATATTGCTCAGAAATTAAAATACTTCTGTTTGCATGGATAATAGCTTACATTTCTGAATTACATTCTTAATTTGCTTTTGTCGTTATTCCATTCTATAGGTCAAAGTGGCGCGGGTAATAATTGGGCAAAGGGGCATTACACCGAAGGAGCAGAGTTGATCGATTCCGTGCTGGATGTGGTCAGAAAAGAGGCCGAGAGCTGTGACTGTGTACAGGGATTCCAGCTTACACACTCACTAGGTGGTGGNGATGCCAAGAACATGATGGCTGCTTGTGACCCAAGACATGGTCGCTATCTCACCGCTGCTGCAATATTCCGCGGACGCATGTCCATGAAAGAGGTTGATGAGCAGATGTTGAATGTGCAGAACAAGAACAGTTCATACTTTGTTGAATGGATTCCCAACAATGTGAAGACAGCTGTCTGTGACATCCCACCAAGAGGCCTGAAAATGGCTGCAACTTTCATTGGTAACAGCACAGCAATCCAGGAGCTGTTCAAGCGTATCAGCGAGCAGTTCACAGCTATGTTCAGGAGAAAGGCTTTCCTTCATTGGTATACAGGAGAGGGTATGGACGAGATGGAATTCACTGAGGTAAGTTTTCCTCACACAAATGGGCGTTACCCATGACAGTGACACTGCTCACGAATTTGATGACTATTTCGTTCTATTTCACGATCAAATCGCTTAGCCACCTATAACTACAACACCACTCAACTACACAAACAGACTTTCCCAACAAATATTAATAAATTCCACGTCATACACACTACTATGAATTAGCCAGGACTTTACCTATCCGAGTATGAAATGTGTGTACAAAGAGAAATTGCAATGACATYATTTATTTTTTAGGCCGAGTCCAACATGAACGATTTGGTGTCTGAATACCAGCAATATCAAGAGGCAACTGCTGAAGAAGAAAATGAATATGATGAAGAGGAAGAAGAGGATGCTGAAGAAGCCGCATAAATTTGACATACATTTATTCTTTCTGTACATATAACATGATCACTATTGACTGTCCTCAGAAACCCAGGGGCTTTTTTCTTGAGACTACTCTAAATTGCCCGTGGTTTCCATTGGATYTATAGACTTTGCCATATGAGTGATCCTAACAAAATGAAACATGTTACCAAAAATATTTCCAGGAGAAACTGAATCTGAAACTGAAAAAGAAACTGATTTAAAATTTGTCTCTTTTTAATGCAAGTATTTCTAGAATTACAAACTTGTTTGATTTGACACCAAAATAAAACATTTTTACTTATAAAGCAGCACTTATTACTTTAGAATAGTTATGTTGATAGGTAGTTTCATATTAAAAGTTATGTATCTCCAGCAAAAATTTTAATAAAAAACTATGCCCAAGCTTTCGGATGATCGTCCATCTTTAGGGTGATCTGCATAAGATAACAATATATATATATATATATGAGGGGTTGCAACTTAAAAAGGGTCTTTAAAAAAAGGTTAAGACCCCTTTGATGACGCAACAGTTTTATATGTAGTCCAAAGCAAAATATTTATGAATAAGACCCCTTTTCAGCTGAAACCTCTCATATATATATTAGATGCTTCTCTGATATTGCTGACATTGCATGGATACATTCATAACAATTTAACATAACTCACATATAAGTGCACGCTATTTTTTATGTATTTTTATAGTCAATAAAGAAACAGTTTTTTAAGATCATTTTCTTGTTTTGTTAATTAATATTCTTTTCAATGAATATAAACTTTCAACTGTTTGGGAGAGAAAACAGGATTCGCTAGCAGCTCTATTGTGCTCAAAGAGGTCATCATTGGTTTATTGTTCCTTCCTAGCTTTCTCACAAAGTTGTTCCAACTAATTTTGCTCTTGCAATGTAAAGACACACACGTTACACAAACTTGCTTTTACAAGAACACAAGTCTTTCTACCCTTCGTTGCCAYCATAAAAAGAACATACACATCATTTTAATTTGCTGGGTAATCAAAGTAAAAAAACACATTCTACATATCCATGAAAAGTACAAAATCCATTGACTTCTATTGGTTTCAAAACTTATTACAATTTTGTACGAATTCTTACAAAGCGCGCCACTGATATCGATGATGAAATACAGCCTCCCTTTAACAATTCTTCCTTGGAAAAYCCTATATTTTAATAAACTATACAGTAGTTTACGTCCACAGTTCTGCTTATAATAGTGTAATCTTGAGCTTTTGTGGTAGTATATAATTCTGAACAATCTTCTTACCAAAAATATGTACTTTGTTTGTAAAAGTTGTTGCAGACGTCTTGAGCTTTTACGACAATAGTTCATTCCTCAGGCTTGGAAAACACGAGGGTATAGTGTCAAACATTCTTCTTGACAGATACTTTRTGTGATTGCAAAGCGTGTTTGGATTATAGGACGATAGTACATTTTGACTACACATTCTTTTTGACATATACTTTCTACGGATTGTAGAGCGTCTTGGGCTTATTTACGGACGAAAGTACATTCAAGCTAGGACAACACGATGACATTCAAACATTTCTTCTTTGACCAAACCTTTTACAAGTACTAAAAAATGGAAGGTATTCAATATCAATCACTTGATAAATCTAGAGTAACATTTGCTTGGTTATGTCCATTGACGCGAAAGAAGTACATTGAAATACTGCAAAATCATGGCGATATCTGAGTCATACCTGCATGGYCAACGAGCTGAGTCTTCTTCTTGTTCAATTGGTGTCTTCATCTTTGCATCAGTCGATTCTTCACCCAAGGTGATTTTTTGCAATAAGTAAACGACAGTAAGAATTACCAAAAGGAATTCGAAATAACCAACGCATTCTACTATCATTTTGAACCCAAAAGTTTCGACGCGTCTCTTTGACTGATGGATTGCGTTATACCTTGCAATGAGTTGTGACCTTGACTCAAAAAAGTTTCTGAATCTCAAAATATCTTTGAAATCATACAATTCCTTGCATTCCAGACCAGCATTCCAGGTATTAATTCGTCAAAGGTTATAGATTTCAGACTAGCAACGAAGACAAGCACTTATCCAACCAATCACAGGACACAATAAATTGTGTTTTCCGAGCGCTTATATGGTGCATGGAAGGAATCATGCAACAGCTATCAGTTG